TGCCCATTTCCAGATGCTCACTTGAGCTGTAGGAGCTGTGGACCAATTTTCCCAACAGATCAGTCTCAACTTTTGAGACTCTTGGGTGCAGTTGACCCTCTAAAAATCAGGACCAAGGATAGGATGCTGAGCTTTAAATGCAGGGCTTTAAGGCCTTAATTGATTAGAACACAGAACCATCCTTCCATTATAGAGAAGTTCTTCACCATAAGTAATTCTTCATTATCATCACTTGTTTGCTAATTGCTTTTGCTTTGCAGTCTGACTTTCATTATCATGTTGTATAACCACTGCTACCTTACTTTTCAACCATATGTTGTCAGTTGTACTTTTTCTTCTTGTCATTGCGTTACCGTCATGCTCTAAGCTGTTTATGAGTTTTGAAATATGAAATTTTGGTCTTGCTCAGTTTTAAGCTAACCCTGCTGCTTAAATGAAGGAATATCACATTTACCATACAGAGAGATTTATTTAAAAGCCAACTGTGAATTACACTGAGGAATCTGCAGTAAACCATGACAGTAAATAATGAGAGAATGTTTGCCTGGAGGACTTGTCCCTAATGAGGTTTGGTCTTAAATAGGTATCTGATTTCCAAACAGAATGCCTTTTATTTCTTGAGGTTTTCATGTTTCTCCCTATTAAGTAGGGTTTTCTGAGAGATTTTGTTAGTAATTGACCATGGGGTCAGTAATGGTTATACTTTACAGGAGAATGTGTGACTATGAAAATACTTGAGGGGGAGGGGGGGGAGGGAGGGGAGAATGGAGGGGAAGGCAGGGGGAAATAGTGATGTTATGTCCTATTTATGTGCAGTTCCAATTTCTGATATTTATTTGCTTGTTTGTAACCTAAAAATCTTATCAAGATAGCACAGTTGTTTTGGAAGGAAGAAAACCGAAAATTTCTTAAAATGAGATTGTTGTTAAGTATAAAATATTATTAGGGTTCATATTTCTACTCTGAAGTGCACCTCTTTACATTGTTACAGTCTTGTGTAGGAGCTGTTCTCAAATGATCTTTCCTCAGTGACAGTAGTTCTCCCTCCCAAACTCCTTTTCTTTCTATGTGCCAACCTCGCTGTCCGATTGTTCGCTTACACACAGGATCTGTGCTCATACAGAGTTACAGCAGCAACTTGGATGAAAATGTGCACCTAGTATTCCAGAAGGTCAGTCCTCCATTGCTTTGTAAGGTTTACAAGAACAATTTTGCAGCACTGTATTTTGGACAGATTCTATTATAGGAGAATATGTGGAATCAGAATAGAGGTATGTATGGTGCATGCACAAAGAAAATCTGTAAGAAATGATGCGTGATCTCTTTTGGGAGAGGTAGGTGTGGTTCTCCTGACTCTTTGTAACCCTTGGTGCCACGTATCTTGAAACCGTACATTAATTTCCGATCTGTAAAAAGTACTATGCTCTTTCCTTAAATATTGGTATAGAGCAAGAAACGTTCTTTCTAGTTGAGCACTGGAAAGCATGACAATGACCACTTAGGGACCTGCGGTCTCTCTCCAGTTAATTAGGTCTGGAGACTTATTTGCTAAATGCTCCTTAGGTACCAGAAGGTAAATGATAGCCTGGTAATGGGATAGGAAAGTTACCAGATCTTGAAATTCTCCTGTGGACAAATTCCCACCGATTAAAAGGTAGCTGGCGTATGTGGCAGGCCACAGTTATCAAAAAGCAATATGTTTGACAGACAGTTTTGGTTGGGTCTTTCAAGCTAAATTAACTTCCATCCTGATTTCTAACAACTGTCTGGGATGAAGTCCTCCTCTGCTCATTAGCAGCTTGTTCCCATACTGGGCAGAACTCTCCTTAAAATAGAGGAAAGAGGGGAATAATATTATTAAACTCCTAAATTAAATAAGCTCTCACATGATCTAAAGCAGCCCAACCATTTACTTACTGCAGTGAGCAGCATGTCCTCAAGTTATAGAGAATGACAGTGGAAAAATCTTTCTCTCTACCTCAGCTGCACATCTGATAGCCCTGAGGCAGAAGACAGGTTTGAAAAGCATCTAACCATAAGCTGTGCAGTGCCTGGCTATTCAGGTGGTGCATGGTTTGGCAGCCAAGTTAAAAAAAAAAAAAAAAAATTCAAGGCAAAAAAAAAAAAAAAAAAAGCATTGCTCCTTTCCTCCTCACCTTTGTCTTGAATGACAAAGTGAAAGATCAGTAGCTCTGCACTCCAAAACCTAGTTTTATTTCTGACTTGCATTCAGCTTGCTTGGTAACTCTTTGCTTTGCACTGACCCAACTGTTTGAACCTCTCACAGTGCAAAGAACTACATAATGTAACACTAAAACAAAAGATTGAAAGAGAATGCAGCAGGCTTAACATATCCCTCTGATTACTCTATAAGGGAGAGTTAGATTCTTTAAAAAATAAAACAAAAAATCCCTGGTGGCCTCATGGTTTTCCAGGCATCTTTCTAGATAAACTTTTCCTATGATAAAATCATTACAAAGTAGAAATACAGTCTCTCCAAGGGCTACCTTGAAAACCTAGTGTAATATAAAGAGCTATAACACAATAATGAATCCTGTAGGCAAAATAGGGCTTGTTTTGACCGGCTTTACAAAGTGAAGAAATGGGAGAAAACTTTGCATTAGGAGAATATTATTTTTGACTAAACTATATTTTGGGATGTTACAAAGCCAGGGTCTCTCAGAAGGCTGGAGCCCAAACTCTAAACTGAAAAACACTTGAACTTTGTGAAATGTGAGCTCTTATCTGCATTGTATTTTTGAAAAGGAAAAGGTAATGCTGAGAATGCTGATGCTTGAATATCTCTGAAATTTAAATCTGGAGCTAGTTTCAATTTTTGCCTCTTCATGGCAGCTGCAGCATTTTTCTGCTTTCATTCCTTCAGAGGCTGTTGCAGGGTGCATGTTCTGAGATAAAAGAGGCTGTATTTTACTGCTACAAAGGAAGAATGTCCCTTCCCAGTCCCCTACAGCTACATCAGGGCCTCTGATAGGTGACAAAATAACAAGTATACTTCCACCGGAGAAGCATAAAGGGAATCCAGACTAATATGCCCTCACAGATTTCTCTGAGAATACTTACCGGGAATTTTTTATATATAAGGATAACACAAAGACAAGCACCTCCTTAAAGAGAACTTGAAACCAGCCAGGGGGTAGAAAGGGAGTGAGGAAAAACTAATTCTTAGTCAAAAAAAGAGATTTCTTTTTGAGAGCAAGACAAATGAGGTAGCTAAGTTAGAGATTCAGTGAGAGTTTAGCAGGTGTACAGAAGTATATACACAGTACTGAAAATTGGAGACACCTGGAAAAAAAATTCTTTACCTTCTCAGTTGTAACTATTTGTAAGGTAGACTTGAGGCTAGCAATGGCAGCTTACTCCTCCTATAAGATAATGCCTAACTTGGAACAACTATGACAAAACTTAGAAAGCACACTTATCAAGTTAGACTGAGTTTTATAGTAATCAAACTATAAAGATAGGGCTTTTAAAATCTTTATGTTATATTCATATAAATCATGTATTCATTCGTATAAATCTTTGTTTTATTCAACTAAAAATAAACCATGAATTCCCCATTTAGTTTTAATTAGATCTTTGTGTGTAATGGAAAATTTTGGATGTTTGAAATTGCAGCATTTCTACTACCTACAAAGAGATTGTAACATGAGTCAGTGCATTAACAACAAACATAAAACAAACTCATAACAACTGTTAGTCAGAATTGTACCTAATTTCTTTCCAGCCAAGCAATAATCTCTGAGAATGAACCCATTTAAGTAGTAAAATTGTACTGGATGAATGTCGAAGATCATCTCTGGTCCATTCTGAGAGCATTTGCAGTTACTGTAGCAGAAGTGGGTTCTGTGGCTGAGTTGGTTTTTGTTCCTTTTTATTTTTTTCTTTGCTTGTTGGTTTTATTTAATATCTGAAAGTGCCACTGGTGCCCTGCTGCCCAGGCATAATGTTTAAAGTTTTTCTTTGTTTTTTCAATTTATTCTTGGCTGAACAAGTTGGTGGCACCAACACCACACAACCTCTTCTGATTTTTATTTGTTGCTGGTGGTATTTGGTATTGTTTGTTGTTTTTGGTTTTTGTAAGCTATGCCTATGAAAAGCTCTGATTCTGTGTTGCCAGAATGCCTGTAGAAAGCTTTGTGACTGCTTTGGGTCGAATTATATTTTCTCATAGGTGATGGTGTTTTTCTTTGGGTGGGGCAAAACTACACAGACAGCATACTAAGACAAGCCTGGGGTAAGTACACCAAGAGTTGACATTTGTCGCTTGCTGCTACCAAGAGGCAAAAAATGGTGTTTATGAGTCAGTGGTGAGAGCATGAGCATGTGCTTAAACAAAGCATTTTCTGAAGTATGCAATTTTCTGTTGTGGTGGCTTCTTTCACTAGCCTCTTCCTGTCATCATGCTGCTAAGCTTGTAGTAAACACTGTCACCCCTTCTGTAACATTTTATAAGCTCCTTTCCACTTCAGCATTAGGAAACTCAGCTCTTCTCTCTCCAGGTATTCCCAGTTGGTTCATAATGTCTCTCGTCATTCTCCTGTAATGGTAAGAAACTGTTCATTACTTCAGATCAAACTGTGCCTTTTAGGCTGGTTATAGCACTGTGAATGGTACTCCAGTGGCTTATTTGATTGATGAGTTGTAATAACTGCTTTTGGATCCCTTTGTTGTGACAATAGTTCTTCAGCTTCATCCATGTATAATAAATAGCCTAACAAACACATTATTTCATTTCTTTATTAAGTCATTAATTACACTGCAAGTTCTTTAACTGCATCAGAAGAGTGTCTGGATAAAACCAACTTACTGTCATCATGGTTGAATGCACTACTCTTACATGGACTACTTAGAAGTAAATTCTGTACACAACCAAACCTGCCCAACACCACCACAGTCTTTTCCCTTAACACTTATAGTCAAATCACATTTTATCTAAGCTGCAACCATTTGTTTGTTTTGGTTATAGAAAGATCAAACTGTTCTTTTAAATGCCTTTGTCATGGATTAAGAGAGAACGTATGAGCCACGTGTTGAAGTAACACAAAAGTTTATTTCCTTAAAAATGGATGAACCACAAAATTTTCCTGGGTTTCAATCAGTTTTAACAAAGAGAAAATATAGAGAATAGGGACAGTACAGTACAAACAGAACAGCTGTTTACATTTAAACACATGCCATTCAGCTAGTCAAAAATTATTCAGACACCACCATTTCAAAGGCATATTACTGACATATGGTGTCTGACATGTTTCCACAACTGAGTACACTGGCTTTGATGACAACCATGAAAATCACATTTTTCCATGTGAGCAGTTATCAGAGAAACAGGCAAATGAAGACTTAGCTTGGGGTTTTATATTACTGATTCTAAAGGACTGCCACAGCCAAGGTAAGTCTTCTGACTTTTCCAAACATAGGCCTCCTTTGCTTCTCAACCATTCCATACCCTGTTCCTCACCTCACAACGGGACCCCATGAACAGCAGAGCATAACCACTGCTGCTATTGAGCTGTTCTCCCAGAGGCAGGCAAGCAGACTCAATTAGTCACAACAGGCTATTCCCAGGGCTAGTCTCCAAACTGACAGCTTGAGATCCTTGGCATATGGCTTGCAGTTTCACAGTATATGGAAGGTTACTATTTTGTTATAGGAAAGCTAGGTATTAAAGCCTCTTGTGGAGCTGAGTCAGGTTAAGACAGGGCTAGATACTCAAGTATTCTTGCCCTGTCAGGACTTGAGGATATCTCAGTGGAAAAATGTTCTGGGGTGCTTTGCAAGCAAGAATCTTAGAGGTTGACAAAAAAATCTCTCACCCCTCTAACTCATATGTGGGCTTAGAAGGGGTAATTGAGATCTTTGCTTTAGAATTCACTGCCCAAATTCTGTTTACATTCTCAAGGGGGCAGTTGCTCAGCTCAGAGCCTATCAGAGCAACAATAAAATAAGCAAAGGCGATACTAAGATTTACGCGGACACCAACTACGGAAGGCCAGGCTGTTGATAGAATGCTGTGCCAGCATACATAAATAAACAAACAATTCATTTATAAAAAAACTAAACATCTGCACAAAACTAAATTAGTGCAGTTGAACTCCCTTCTCCCACCACTTAATTCGCTTGTCCTAAATAAGTATTTTTCTCTATTAAATAGTAACGTACTTCTCCACTGGGATGTTTCTCCACTGGGATGTGCCTGAGTCTAGCAGTTCATTCATCATTTTAGGCCTTAAACACCAGTCAGCTGAGGAGTGTTTCCCTATGACTACACTAAAGTAGGAACATTTCCAAAGCATTATTCTTTCTCTGGCCCTTTTCAGAGTCTATTCCAGTACCCTTGCTGGGCTCTCTGATGCCTGGACAAGGCTTTCAGCTGATAGCTGGCTCATATCCCACCACACTGGAGCACAGCAAGCAAGCTGTCCTCCCTCCATAGGGACACGAAGACTGTTGCTCAGCTCAAGGTGCTGAAGACACACTAACTGGCATTCAGTGTAAAAATTCCAAATCTTGCACTCAAACCTGCAATTCACTTTGTGTTTTCTGTACTTGAAGTCCCAAGCTTTCTCTTTTTAAGTAAAAATACTGTTAGCATGCATGGAATTTCCATGGTTTATTTTATCAGCCTGTGTTCTCCCTGGTGTGGAAAAGAAAGAAAAAAGAGCCATATATTTTCTTTTAGTCACCAGTTGGTCCTCCTTTAAGGACCTTGTAAGACATTTTTTTTGTGTATTGTTTCTCTGCATATGTGGGCAGCTTTACTACTTCATCCCCCTCAGGACCACTTAACAACATCAGCAAAGCAATTAAGTGTAGTTTTCAGGAAAATGCCAGAGGCATTACACTGTCTGGATGGGAGTCTCAACCCAATTATTTTCAGCTAGTTGTGAACTGTGGAAAGTGGACTTTACTTCATTATAACTTCAGTTCCCACTGATTAAAAGTCTAGTGTGTTACAGACAGTAAGGAAAAATGAAAACAATTAAACTTTCCGTCAATAAAATGGCTGCATATTCTTCAACATAGGGGTTTACTTCTCTCCAGAGAAGTGATTAAAATGAACTGATTGAACTATAATTTGATTGACTGAAGAGCCTCAATCCATTGCACTAAAGCTTAAATTCCATCTTATTGCTCTATTTAACTCTGAATATAAAAAAAATTACTGGCAGTCTCACAAACCTCTTATACAGTCATCCGGTTGAAATTTCTTACTATTCACAGGCTGTGGTAGATTCTGTTCCTTCTCTGCATGATTCACAACAGACTGATGTTGAAAAGTGGCGAAGACACCTAAGAAATGACATTGATATAGCTTTAAAATCTTCATCTTGCACCTATCACATAATCGTTTAGGGATTCTAAACAACTACAGAGAGTTGACCTAAGACAATGAAAAAGAATAATGTTCACGTTATCTACAGCTGCTGCAGCAGGAAAGTAACCTCCTCATGAAAACCACAGCCATGACGAAGCTTCCTACCACAGATCTGCCTTCAGCAAGGTGTGAAGTTGCCAGATGCACAGGTATGTATGCATACATACATGTGCCTCTTTCCTTCAAGGAGGTACTAAAGAAAGAGGCACATTTAGTCTGGTTTCAGTGGTGAATTGTGCTGGCTAAGAATCAAGATGCCTAGGTTCCCAGGCAAGCATCATTTTCTTTGCACTTGGGGCAAATTTCTACATCTATCATCTCTACAGATGATTAGCTGTCCTGCCAAATTCTGGGACTCCTGTTGCACTAACAAAGCTAGTCAAAAAACATCAAGATACACATGCTTTCATTGACAAGCTCCTATGATACAGCAAATACCCAACTTAGCATTCACCGCTCTGAAAATTTAATTGAAATGACATTCCCCTTTAGAAGGTTGCCACTCTATTGTTTGACATTTTATTTCTCTATTTCTACTTCATATTTTGAACTAAAACAGCATTTAAAATGCAGCTGTACCGCAGTAAAATTGAATTGGAATATATTATAGCTTTAAATTAAATTATGTTGGTAATTAATTGAATGAGGCTGGGTAAGATGAGCAAATAAAGATGGGCAAAAAGCACTGGGTTAAATTCTTACATGCTTCCTTTCACAGGCAGCTCAAACTCCAAAGGAAGGCAGCAGATATTTTTCTACTAACATCAGCATGAACTGGGACACGTGGTCCTCGAGCTGTAGTATTTGTTACTGAGCTCAGCCAGAAGTGTGCAGACTGTGACTGGCCTGCACCGCTAGCTTCACAAGCCATAGATCTAATGCAAACAGTTCCAGCCCTTAGATACTGCCAATCCCAGCCTTACAGGGATTTCTGACCACACTCAAGGGTTACTAATTCACTATATTGTTTGGCTTTATTAAGCATGATTCATACCACAAGCATGACATTCTCTGTATTTGTTAGCCAGAAGCTACCAAGACTGCACTGGAGTCGCCAAGGGAACACTGCTGCAGGTAAAACGCTGCCTCTGTCTAACATAGAAGGTCCGCTTCTGACAAATTATGTAACTTAACTCTTAATAACTGCCTTGCATTGCTGGCCTTTTCTTTTGTTTCTCCCTTCATTATGATTACCAAATACTTTGTTATTCTCTACTTCACCTCAACATCTGTAACTTTGAATGACAGATACACAGTAACAGGAAAGGAGACAAGGGCAAATGCTCAACCACAAATTCCAAGGTGCCTTTGGAGACTGCAGGATGTTTGCTACATTCCCTGTTCCCAGTTTTATGTTACAAACACCAGAGGTACGTAAGGGCACCGAACAGCCTAAATGCCTATTTGAACCTTTCAGTTCTTACATAGACAGATACATTCTCACAATTTACAAACCCACCTTTGTCTGCATAACAGCTGTGTAAGAAGGAGCTGTGTTTGAAGTCATTTATATCTTATTTTCCTGCGGAACAAGAAACATTTTTGACAGCAAAAGGACAAGCCCCAAGCATGAAAGTAGCCTCAAGTCTTCTCTTTTTCTGAAATTAGAAAGTGGCATTTATTTGTCTTTCATGGTGCTCCTACAGCCATAGCAGCAAACAGCACATGGGCAGGGTTTCTTACCATGCTGACAGCATGGTCATGAGTAAGCTGAGCAGCACACAAACAATGTCAGCATGAGGGCAGGGTCTTCTTCTAAGTAAGTCCAACCTGTGAGAGGCAGGTGAAGGATGAACAGGCATTTCCTGACTCAAGCAATTGCTTAATATATCCCTCTCCCTGAACAGCATCATCAACTGTACGGACAGGAATTTGCCAACACTTCACCAAACTACACTGAACATCAGGGGGGAAAAACAAAAAAGAATGATTCAAATGGGTTTGATACACTTTCTGCATGTAGAATCAGCATTTTTTCTTTTCAAAATCAAGTTGATTTCAAATATCTGTAATAATGAAAATATATTAAAAATGCATTGGCCAGTAGATTTATGTTTGAAAGATGCCATTTTAATTACAGAGAGGTCATGATTCTCAGTTTTTGAGGAAATGTGATTACTGCAATTTCTTCATTGAGTTATAGCTTCACTTCTTAAGAAAACATTATTTAAAGGGCAGAGTGTTAGCCGTCTACACAAAACATAAGCAAACACTTGGATACACTCTTCCTAGCAACCAAGGTCTTTCATCAGAAAAGCAGCATATTTTTTGTTGATTAGTGTTGTTTCTTTTCTCCCCTGAACATTATATTGGGCAGTCCCTCAGCTAATTCATCAAATCCCTGGAATATACTTTCCAGTGAAAATGTAAGCCATTGACAAAGCCACCTCACAAAACCACCTCACTGTTCATGTGCTAAAAAAAATTAATTGAACTTTTTTTTTTTTTTGAAATCCATATTTGAATGCTTGTGTCATCACTATTTATGTTTGCACTGTGGCAGTGAGGCCACATTCTCAAAGTTCTGTGCATTCCTGACTTCCACTAACAGAAATACCAGGAGGTTAATTTTCATTACTAATCTTCTTCACATACACTGACCTGCTGTATGACTCCCTTAAATAAACAGTATTTTAAGAAATGCTGAATTTCTACAATTCTAACTGAGTAGAACCTAGAGATATCGAATACTTCCCTGAATGTTGGTCTGTCTTTTCATGCTGAGATAACTTTGATGTTGTTACTCAAGTAATGGTTATTGTGGATCTCCTAAGTACTTCACAGTATGCTGGAGATCCAATTAAAAAAAAAAAAAAAAAAGAAACCCAACCCAGACCTGTTAAGTTAAATATTAAGTAAAAGTATGAGTGCACATTGATAAAGAAAAACAAAGACAGCCATTTTGAAAAGGTTTTTCCAACAGGCAGTGCCATTTCTTCCATGATAGGCCACCTCTTTTCTTCTAAGAAAAGAACTGTTTTAAACAGAATTTTCTGCTTCTGTATATTCTTTCTTTTCTTACCTAAGGGTTTACTCCTTTCTTTCTTTCTTGTAGGAGGGAGACCAATGGTTTTGTCGCTAACTCTTCAAGAAAATCAGAGGAGAGACTGGGAAATCTGTCTTCCATGGAAAAGAGGAAAGATGCTAAGGGACAGGATGTATCCTCCTTGACATAGTGTGGTCAAAGAGCCAGCTTCCTCACTTCTCCCTAAAGAGCTCTCAGACAACTGTCTAGAAAAGTGCACAGTCTCCCCAGCTGTTAACAGCAGGATATACTGCAGCACTCTAGACTGCTGCTGCCATGTCGCTTCTGTGCCTCCAGGGTCAGCTTAGTGTATTAAATTAACAGTTTTCCCAGGCAAGGCAAAATGTCTGTGAACAGAATGGTGCAGCATAATAATGGGATACAAGGGGAAGATACCTGCTGAAATATTAAATGTTTTGGTAAGAGCAGGAAACATTGACTTGATTCTGACTTACATGGCTTAGTGCCAAACACATGTTATCATGCAGAAGTCCCAGCACACTGTGTCTGTTTAACACCACTTAATATTTTTATAGCTCATTTTAGAATTCTTGCATTTTTTTTTCACCCTTAATAATTTATGAGCTTAGAATTATCGATAATGTGAAGCTTCATTGCAAGCTATCTGGAGGATTCTCATCTGACTCGTCCCATTACATTATTATTCCTAAACATGATTTATATTTGATAAGACATGAATGAACATCAATAAAATAATAATTAATGAACTATATCTTCATGGAAATACTAACAGCTTAAATACACAAGCAAATGCAGTGTGCGGTCTGCAGGTCAGATCTCTCTGAGAATATTTGTCTGTTTAGTGTTTAGAATATGATAATAAACCACAAAAATATTTAATTTCTGTGGTCGTCAGCTAATTGTTGTGACAGTTGTGAACACTCCAAACTATGAACCTGTAAGGCAGAACTGCAAAGTAACAGTGTTCTATGTAGGTGAGCAGGTAATCTCAAAACACTACAAATGCTTAAGGGACTTCATGTTTCCATAAAACAAGATGTCGAAAGAATTTTGGTTTGGGTAGCTCTTTTTTTTCTTAACATCATCTATTGGATTGAAATGCTCTATTTCTCCATACAGAAAGTTAAAATAAACAATTTTAATGACTAAAACTTCTGCCTAAAAAAAAAAAAAAAACATTAAAATAGCCTAAAGTTCAACATGCTGTTTGGGTCTTCTGTTGTAACAAACTATCACTCCAAAGGACAAGCTTCACCAAATATTTGTATTCAGAAAAGTGACAATACTCCATCCCTGGGAATTTCAGCAAAGGTCCTTCATCCTATTGCACCTCACAGCTTTGCAGTAGTGCTTATCACTAATCAGGGACCACTTCCCTTTACATTTCCTTACCTTATACAAATCCCACATGAATCCTAATGGAGGAAGAGAAAGAACAGGAGTAAAAGTTTTTTCCGGATTTTTTTTTCCTTAATTTCTAGTTTTTGTTTCTTGCTTTCCTTACTGTTCAAATTTCATCAGGGATTGAACAAGAGCTTTAGATGGACGAGGTGACCACATTGTCAGTATCATGCTTACCTTCCTCCCAGTTCATTAAGAAGCATTTAATCCTTGCTCCCTCAGACCTTCACTTATGTATGATTTACACAAGGGCTTTAATTGCACATCTCTGGAAGAAAGCCAGAAGACATTATTGTCCTTCAATGACAGCTTGATTTTTTTAATATTCATTGAATCTCCTTTTCATCCATGACACGTGCCTTTTTTTAACTGTTTGTGTCCACTATTTGACTTCTCCATTACATGATCAGGGATTATAAGGGCAGCTGTCCTGTGGTATAAAGCAAGAGGACATGAACACATCACGGTCTCATTTGAAACTGTAATGTCCCTTGAGCTTGAGATGTTTACAGCTCTACAGAGATGTGCTATTCAAACCCCAGCTTTGAGAGGTTTCAGTTCAACTTTCTTAAAACATTAAGAGCTGAAGGAACGGTAAAGACATTCTGATTTGACCTTCTACATCACGTTTTTACTCAGTCACTCCCATCTTAATCCCCATGATATGCCTGAGTCAAACCCATCTTCCTGAAAGGCTTGATATCTTAATCTGTAAATGAAAACTCTATTATTCTACCACCACTTCACGCTAGCATTATTACCTCGCATTCCAAAGTACAATCGAGAAACCAGTTGAGCTTCTTGGTTTGTCACTCCCACCTCCAGCCAATGATTTTTACTTTCCTCTGCTGCTCAGTGGTTTGGTATTCCCTATTTTGGTCCCATGAGGGAGCTAGACACATTAGAGGTCTTAGCATTTCTACCATCCAGAAACATGCAAACAATAGAACACATACACATACATCTCTAGCATGTCTTCTTACCTTGAAGGACTCACCAGAATCCAAAACCAAGTACATCTGCTGTGTTCTCTTCCTCCTGAACAGATCCAAGTCCATTCCCTTCTGAGACGCTCTCTCAGAGAAATGATGAAAAGTTTAACATGGAAAGAATGTGCCCATAGCTTTGAGGAACAGCTCCATTTTTAAAGTGACCAGCTTACCACATATTTCATTTCCACCCACTTAACCACACAAATTTTAAAATAGTAATTTCTCTTTTTTAAACACATCCACTCTGGACTAGTTTCATCACCCTCATTCAGTCAAAATACTCACTAATTTTAATGAATATTTTTCTTGAGTAAGAAAGAATACAACCTTTCTTCTCCGAGCCTTCTTTACAACAGATTCTGTGAAAGTCAAAACAAACAACATACAGCAATTCACCTTTAGGTAGTGCAAAAACAGTCCCCAGAGTGATAGCTTTTAGTTCATCCCTAGTGAGAGCTGTATAAGCCGTAAGCTCTTCTATAAACACACCAATGAATAACAATCAGTCTCTTACTCCTCTCAGTCTCTCGTGTGACAGACCCTTAATTATGGCTATTAGATTATTACTTTCTCCAGAGAATCCTGTAAGGCAAAAGCAGTGTTCTTCTCCGGACATCAAAGACAGAATTAAGACCCTGCTTAGGAACACTCCTCAGAAACAGCTGCTATTCATTCCCACTAAAGAATGCCCTATTTGAGACAAAGGGCGCAGCTGCAGCTCGCTGCCTCCTACTCTGCATGAGGCACCCTGCAAAAATTGATACTCCGCTTTGAAAGAAAAGATGTCCTCCTAAAACACAGGGAAGCCCACCTCCTACTAAGCTCTGAAAAACTATTCAGATTTCTGTTATCTTATACAGATAACCTCTGTATCCTGCAAAGATCACCCATTCTCAGTAAGTTCTGGACCATTGAGGCTTGTGACACAACAGCACAAAAGCAGGAGCACAGATTATGACTGCGTAACAGAGAAAAAGGGAACTAGAAACCACCCACCTAAGGCACTGCACCACCAGCATCTGTTAGTGCACATATCTTCTTTTTATGTGTAATATTTATTGGTATCCTTCGGGGATAACTCTGCATGCTCCTGCAGTCAACTAGGAAGAATGTCTGTCCCCAGGGAGAGAACAACGGGGCAGAATCAAGATTCAGGCTGACACCAAGCAACAAATGACTCCCGGACGCTTTATATGTAGGTAACACAAATCAATTCTTAAATAGTAATTACTAGAAAATTAAAGTAACTGCCTTTCAGGAGAATTTCTGGTTAATACTATTATCTTCTGTGGGCACAGCAGATGAGAATGTGTTATGATAACCTATGTGGTTTAGGCTCATTTTGGAATATTGTAGCAACTTATTGCTAGCCAACATCTTACAACAGCACCAACATAAAAAGTAATGTCTGGCAATTTATCAGTTCTTAATAAAACACTGCGCTTAGATGTTTAACTGTTGAAGCTGCTCTGGATTTTGATTCAGCTGTTTTTTGTCTGGGCTCAGCACTATGGCTCATCCCTGTTTTTTCCTGGCTCCTTCAGGATTTGACAGTTCCAAATTCTTACTTGATTGGACTTAAAAATAAATAAAACTTAGGAACTGCTTATGCAGCACTGCCCCTATCTGTCCCCAGCCTGTGTGTGAAATTAACATTGGTTCAAAATGCTGGAAATGCAAATTTGCACACTAAGAGCATAGGTTCCAGGATGAACATCACACTACCTGTGAATTCCACAACCTAAATGAATACTGTCACTCAATTGAGGGAAAGCCAGGTAGCCTGCATGTGCCAAGCAGGTATTTTCACGTGAAACACATTTGTAAAGGTAAGTTCTTTCAGAGTTGCACAGACACATGGTTACTAAGCAAAAGATAAGTACATTTAAAATGACTCTGCCAAAAATTGAACCGGTTCCATGCTTCTAAGGCACGACTGCATATGAAGCAGAATACATCACACATCACAATTGTCAAGAGCTGTCATAA